TGACCTGGAAAACCTTCAAACTGGATTTCAATGCCTTCACCAAAGTTGTAGAGCTATCTCTTATCTTCAAATTGGTTTAAGAATCATCTCAATCCGATCACTGTAGCTCAAGTTATAGCCAAAATACTAAAATGTGTCAAAAATGCACAAAATGCAAGTAAATGTGATAAAAACCTCATTTAATCACTTAAGAACATTTTTCACCAATTATAGCCAAAATGATTCATTTTCTTCCAATAATATAACCAAAGTGACTAAAAATAACATAAAATATCATTCAAACATAACGTAAATTAGTCACTTATCAATTATGCAACAATTTTATGTGGAAGTACTTCTTTTCTTAATTTTGACTAAAGAGGAATCAAGATTTCTGATTAAAAGGGACTAGTCATCTTAAGATCTAGACCAAGCTAGTGTGGGTAATAAATGACTATAAATGATGGGTAATTACGACGTGAATTTTATGTTGGGAATGCCCAAAATCTATTTTTGATATGATTTGCTTAACACAGAAAAAAAGACCAACCAATATGGGTTATAACTTATGAATCAATATTAAGGTCCCAATTCATTAACAGTTGAATGGGAATTCTTAGACTTAATTGGCGCAGAGTTTTGATGAGTGGTAAAATTTGTACTCAAAGAATCAGCTTTGGCATAGTATTTGAAATCTGTTTAACAGTACAGCCTTTGTGGTAAAATTTGTACTCAAAGAATCAGCTTTGGCATAGTATTTGAAATCTGTTTAACAGTAGCCTTTGTGGTGCGACCATATAGGTACTTGGAAATTCATAGAAATTTCCTGGACCATTAATCGGAAAATGCTTGTATGCAATTGCCTGGGCAATTAAGACTACTTAAAGAGTATTGGCTAATTTCAATCAATTCTTAATTATCCTACAACAAAGACCAAAACTTACCCTAAATCCTTAATTATCACTATTTAATGAAACAACAATAATCAATTAGTTCAATATATTGGGTAAGATGTAGTTAGTACTATAGAAGATTCTACTCGGATGAGATGTCGTAAAAATTTGAGTAGTAGTTTAAGACTTAGCTGGCAATTTAGCTTTTTTTTTTGGGCAATTTGCATCCTTAGAAGAACAATGGAATCTTTCTCTTTTGGAAAATTTATTTTTCTAATGTATATTTACGTGGACCATGAAGAGTATAACTACATGGAAGCCCCGATAGGCAATTCACTAGTTGGACACTGTCTATAAACTACCAAGATCTGTCTTTTTGTAGACTAACTTACTATAGAAAAAGAAAGAACAGCCAATATAAAGTTTTCCTCTGAAGGTCTTCTGAACAGAAATTATTGTACTCTATGAATGACATTTAGTTCAATTAGAGATTGGTGCCAAAGAAATGTATAATTATTTTCTATTATCTTCTAACAAGATACTTTAATGGTTAGGTTGAGGTCTCAATATTTAGATATCTTGGATTTTAAACCCCCTTCTCTCCTTGCGATTTTTTAAATTTCATTCCTCCTATGCTAGAATTTAAAACAAAAAAAAAGACCCTTTGAATTGCTATGTCTACAAAAGAATTATTCATTATCAATTACTGGTTTTTGTTCCAATTACAATTTCTTTATGCATAATATTAAGTTTTATAATAGTTTAATTAACATTTTTTATTTCTACATTACTTAGCGCGTTTTCCCTTACGAGCCCACTTTTATTACTTGATCATGCCATTGAATTTTTATTTACAAATGTTTGTAACAATTTTATCTTACACTTTAATGTGTTAATATAGATTTCATTCAATAAAGGACCATGAAAAAAAAATATTTGAAACAATTGCTGTCTAGTATTCCTTTGCAAAAATTTATTTCCAAATAACAGAAATGTTTTGCAGTTCTGTGAAAATTGCTAAAAAAAAAAAAAATAAATCAATTCAACCATCAGACTACTTCTTATATAATATCAGAAACATTCATTTTGATAGTTCTTGAAAACTTTCCCAAAAAATTATTAGACAAACAAAAGAATGGTATGGCTACTGTACATAATGTGTGTATTTTCAAGCTTTAAATTGTTCTTCTCAATTGCCCTGATATTGGCCGCAGGAAGAAAAACATGTTCTCAGAACCTCTTCCTCAACTTTGTCATGGAACAATTGCCCAAAGACTTTACAAGAAATTTATATCATTATAAAACTATCACTATTCAGAAACTAAGGATGGTTGAGTTTGACCACCATTGTGTATAAAAGAACAACTCCATTATTATGGTAGTATGCTGGTAATGCATAGTATGCTGATACATGTCTGTTGAAAAATGGTAGGCAAAACATACTTTTTTCTACACCTGTTATCTAATGATATTATTACGTTTGAATAATCTCAAACTTCTATAATGCCAAGAGTTTCTGGGAAAGAATAGGTGAAGATAAGTGACTTGCAGGTATCCATAAAATCAATACGCGTCTTTGAAACTGAAACTCTTAGAAGAAGCTTGGGCAAAATTTATTCACCATTGGACCTGAAATTAAATCAGAGAACCAACTTGACTGGCTTCGGAGCTTTCACAACAAAAAGTAACTTTGACAGAATACTTCAATGACTTTCTCTATCTCTTTTATCATTTCTTTTTCCGATTTATTGTTCATTAACAAAAAGAAGTCGATTCAAGATATGAGCCTATGAAAGGTTCAACAGCTAGATGATACTCATTAATGAGGGAAGTTAATCCAAAATGACTGAGAGATGGGTAGGCCACTTGGTACCATGACTACTATACTATATATGGTGGAAAAAATTAGAATCTATTAATTGTAGTTTCTTTACATTATATGGCAGTTATTCGTCTCTTCAAGCCTTAATGAGGATAGCAGATAATTCATAGGGATTCTAAGACTTCTGAAAGGATTTAGAATTCATCGCAATTTTAGCAATTACTCATGAAAGGGATGGATGGTTAGATAGGAATTCTGTAGAGTGCTGGTAGCAGCCATCCAAAGAGAACAGGTCCATTTGTGCACAAAATAAAGTGAATGGAGAATATATATGCTACATCAATCTTCAACATATACAAAAATGTGATCAAGGAAAAATGAGGAATCTAATAGTTCTAATGCTTACTACTTGCTACTTTTTATGGTTTAACTTTAAAGAGATCGACTTTGGTGTCCTGTTCGTTTGTAATTTGATTCAAGGTTGATAAAAAGAAATTTTTCAGAGAATGTGAAATAGGGCAAGTATCCTAGTTGATTTTGTTTGGATATTGAATGTTAATAAAAAAAAAATGGAAATTATGGCAGTGATCCTCTTCATTTTTTCCCCTCCAACCAAAGCAGTGATTTTTAAGAATACAAACAAGATTTTAAAAAATAGTTGTGGAGAAAACTTTTAACAAGTTTAAAATGCAAAGTGTCCATCATACTGTAGAAGGGGACAATAATTAGAACTCCCACGTTGGCTAAGCAAAAATATATGTTTGCTCTAGTAACATATTACATATTATTAAATGATTTTACTATGAGGTAGGGTACATTTTCCTTATAGTTTAGCAAACTGGAACAAAATTATAATAATTTTAAATTAACATAATGGCGTGGTGAAATATCATCTGCGGCGAAATATATATATATATATATATATATATATATATATATATATATATACAAGAATTTGAGAATATTGGTTAATCAAAGAGCGACATGAGGATGAAAATTGCTCCTAGAATGGCTTCCTGAACTTTGTCATTGAACGATTGCTCAAAGAATCTGTAAGAAATTTAAGTCATTCTTACTTTGTCAGTACATTGTTTTCGAAAGAATGACTGCATTCATTAAAGAATCAAGCCAAAACTGAGACAAGTATGAACAACACAAGAAATTAGTAATTTATATCATGGCAATACAAGTTCATACAAAAAACAAAAAACAAAAAAACAAAAGTAGGCAAATTAAGCGTACTTTTTCTACACCTATTGTCCGATAATATATATTATTACCTTCCAAACTTTGTAGGTTTGTAAAATGCATCAATTATGGATCTTGCTGTAAAGATGTTAAGTATTAACTAAATTAACTAATTATTGAACTTATACTCATGGAATAATAAATTTTTTGGTAATGTGCTAATTAATCTCTAGAATATTTGACTTTTAATATCCAAGTCTCCCAATGGTGTGGAAATTAAGCTGTTCTTCAACATGCAGCTCCGTGGGACTTCAAATAAATACCTCTCTTCCATACAAATCCCGCGCCTTTATATAAACGGTTACAAAGTTTATCAAAGCAATAATGAAGAGACCGATAACATTTTATAGTACCTTACTTTTCTTCTTTCTTTTACAACCTCAAGAAGTGATCACTTTCACTTTCTTGGAAGATCATGATGAGGCTCTCGCACTGCTTCAGTTTAAGGAAATGCATAGCACATCAACTGATACTTCTCATGATTGCAATTATTTTGGTCAGTACTCATATCCAAAGACAACACATTGGAAACCAGACACAGATTGTTGCAATTGGGATGGTGTCACATGCGACAACCTCACCGGTCGTGTAATTGGGCTGGATCTGAGTTGTGGCCAGCTTCAAGGAGTCATCCATCCAAACGCTTCCCTTTCCATCTTTTCCATCTCCACGCCCTCAACCTTGCTTTTAATGATTTCATCGGTTCACGGATTTCACAGCGATTTGGCTCGCTAAAAAGTTTGATCCACCTCAATCTCTCAAATTCAAATTTTCAAGGCGAAGTTGCTTTGAAAATATCACACATTTTCAACCTAATTTCACTTGATCTCTCTTTTAATCTCCTGTGTAATTCTATGGGTTGCTCGTATCTAACCTATGAATCTAGTAATTTTGAAGCGATGCTTCAAAACTTAACCCATTTAAGAGAGTTGTCGCTTTCGTCAGTGAACATCTCATCCGAGTTAAGGGTGAATTTTTTTTCATCTTTGACATATCTAGATCTCTCATATACTGGAATAACAAGTAATCTACCAGCTAATGTATTTCATCTATCGAATATGAAAGTTCTCTCGTTAGGTGGCTATGAGAATCTTACTGTTAGTTTATCAAAATTAAACTGCAGCATTTTTTATTCTATGAGGCAGTTGGACTTATCGACGACAAGTTTCTCTGCTGCACTACCAGATTCAATTGGGTGCATAAGGTCCTTAAATTATTTGCATCTAGGAACTTGTCAAATTTCTGGTGTCGTTCCTAAATCAATTGGCAACCTTACACAACTTACTGAATTATCTCTAGAAGACAACTATCTTCTAGGGGAAATTCCAGATAAATTTTTACTATTCCGACCCTATCTTACCTTGACCTTTCTTCAAACCATTTTGCTGGGGTTGGACAAGATGTATTTGTGGACTTCAATAAGCTTCAAAAGAACCCTCTTCAAAATGAAGCTCCATGGAACACTACAAACAATGTGAGCATTTCCTATCCAGATTTCTGGCACTTGGGATTGTCTTCTTGCCAGATAAAGGAATTTCCAGAGTTACTTAGAAATTCAAAGAGCTTAAAATTTCTGGACCTCTCAAATAACAGGATTCACGGCAACATTCCAAGCTGGGTCATGTCCAAGACTTGGGATAATTTGCTCTACTTGAATCTTTCGCATAACTTTTTGACTGGTACCATAGACCAACTGCGGTGCAAATATCTGTTGTATCTAGATATGAGTTTCAACTCACTTCAGGGTCAAATGCCTTCTTCTATCTGTAACTCAACTTCTCTTTTCATTCTCGATTTGTCATATAACAATTTGGTTACCCCAATCCCTCAATGCTTGGGAAACTTCAGCCAGAAGCGCTACGTTTTGGATTTGGGAAACAATGGACTTTTTGGCACCATTCCCACCACTTTTTCACAAGGCAACTCTTTGAATATTCTTATGCTGAATAACAATCAATTGCAAGGGCCACTGCCACGATCTTTAGCTCATTGTGAAGAACTGGAGCTCCTTCATTTGGGGAACAACAAGATTGATGATAGATTTCACAATTTGGTTGGAATCTCTACCTAATCTACAGGTTCTCATAATCGATTTCACGGAGCAACTGGGAATTTTCAAACTGAAAGCCCATTTCCGCAGCTGAGAATCATCGATGCATCCTGCAATGAGCTCACAGGTGTTCTACCTACAGAACTCTTCAAAAGCTTAGAAGCAATGAGAAGCTTAAGGGATCACCGTGGGGAATATATGTCAGAAACTGGCTATGAGCTTGATTATTACATCCATTCCTTGACTTTAGTAATCAAAGGAACGGAGTATAGTCTTGAAAGAGTCCTCATAGATCGAACAGCCATCGATTTCTCAAACAGCAGATTTGAAGGACGAATTCCAGAAATTATTGGAACCCTTCATTCTCTTCTTATACGTACTCAGTTTCTCTCATAACAATCTAAGTGGTCATATTCCCCGGCCATTAGGGAATTTGAATAAGCTTGAATGTCTAGACCTCTCTTGGAACCAGCTTGAGGGAACTATTCCTGTGGAGCTTCTGAATCTGACATTCCTTGAATTCTTAAACCTTTCAGAAAATCATCTGATTGGACTCATTCCTCGAGGAAGACATTTTGATACATTTGGGAATGATTCATACAGAGGGAACTTGGCCTTGTGTGGATCACCATTGACTAAAGATTGTGGAAATACAGGGGCACCACCACCAGCCTCACCATTCGGATCTGAGCAACAATATGATCCAGAGTTCTTTGATGGATTTGCTTGGAGAGCTGTTGTTCTGGGATATGGTTGCGGATTAGTGCTCGGACTAGCCATGGGAAGTCTCATGTTCTTAACTGAAAAACCAAGATGGTTCATCCAGATTGTTGAAGTCATACAAACTGCGAAAAAGATCGAGGAACGAAATATGTCCACATACGAACTTGAGAACAGCAATGCAATTTACAAAATTGGTGGGCAAAACATACTCTTTCCTGCAGCTGTTGTCTAATAATTTTACTTCCTTTGCATAATTTCCATTCACATAATCAAATATCCTTGGAAATGATAACTTTTTTCTATGGCTAATCACCAGAAAATTTGACTTCTTATGTCCATGCCTCCCAATGGAGGTAATCAGGAAGGATCAGCAGTAAAACTGGCTTTGTTTCAGTTCCAGTTGTATCTGCTATGCACGTTTTAAGGTTCTAATAGTTGCTTCTTTTTATGATTGTCAACTTCCAGGTGCAAAGAGATTCTGATTCCCTGCAACTTTATCTTTTGCTTCATGGTTGAAAATGAAATCAAGAACATGTTCAGAAAATATGAAAAAAGGGGTATATCCCAGTTTGGTTTGCATATTGAAAGTGGTTCGATGAAAATTATGACAATAGTTCTCTTCATTATTCCCCACCTACCAAAGAGGTGATCTTTGAGACTAAAAACTAGGCTAGTGTGCTTTCAAATGCTTTACATTGACTAATCAACTTGCACCTTTGTGGGAATTGAATTGGAACAGCTTTGCACCATTCAAACTTCAATCGTTTACCCCAAGCTGATATGTGTAAACAGAGAGAAAGTAATCCAAGCGACATTTTTTGACTTTCTGGAAAAGAACAAGTCATCCTCAGTCTTTTGCAATAAATGATAGATAAGTGAAGCCTAGTCTTCATCCAAAATTGTCAGAAGTGAAATTCATGGAAGCAACTTGAACAGAACTTATTCTTCACTGGACCTGAAAATTAGAGCACCAGCGACCAGCATAATCTTAATTGGCTTTGGAGTTTCCCCACCAAATGGTACGACAATTTTGAGAAAAGGGAAGGGAGAGTTATATATTCAACAGAATGATCTTTTTTCACACTACAATGTGACAAAACAAACTAGGATGAAGGGTTTTGTGGAGTAACAAAATGCATCTTTCTGGAACGTTTCTTATAGTTAGCAGGAAGACTTGATTTTAGGATAGAAGCTCACCATATTACTTGATTTATAAGGTATAATTTTCACCAAATTAGGATCTACTAACAAAATTTATGGTGAAGTTCTTCAAATCACATGATCAATCCACGAGACAAAATCTAATAGCATGAACTAACTCGAAAATAAGGTTGAAATTTCTATTTTAACTACAAAAGACAATTCACATATCCTAGGTAAGGAGTCAAGAATAACCATATAATAAAGCACAAGAATACAACCACAAACTTCAAACAGCAACAAGTAACCATGAAATGGTTCATGATCCAATTAAAACAAGAAAAGCAAGATAGTTAAGTAATCTTAACAGAATGCTTATTGACTTTCTGCATCTCTTTAATCATTTTTTTTCCAATTTTTTGTTTTACAACAAAACAAAAGTGAATTCCAGATTACAGGTTCAAAAGTTCAGATAATACTCATGAACGAAAAGGGCTGAGATGGGTAGGCCACTTTGGCCCCATAGCTGTGATAATTAGTAGACTCGTTGATCCAAAGGCATTTATGGTGGAAATGAATTTAGAACGTAAATGTAGTTTCTTGGCATTACAAGTCTTTACTCATGAAAGACTTTTCAGAGGAGCTAAGGCCCATTCTAATTAGCCATTACTCATGAAAGGGATGGTTAGATAGGAATTTAGTAACAATGTGATAGAAGCCATCCAAAGAGAACTGGTCCATTTGTGCACAAAGCAAAGTGAGTTTAGGATATATATATATATATATATATATATATATGCTACACCAACAATCTGCACATACAAAATTTGATCAAGCAAAATGAGGAATCTAATAGTTTATACACTAGTGCTCCTTTCATTGCAATCTCGAGAAATTACCAGTTTGTCCTCCCTTTCACCTCATTTGTGTCACCATGATGAGGGTCTTGCTCTACTTCAGCTTAAGCAAATGTTTCAAACATCAACAGATGCTTCTGCCTACTGCGAATATGCATATCCAAAGATGATATCATGGAACAAAACTTCTGATTGCTGCACCTGGGATGGGGTAACATGCCATAGAGTTGCAGGCCATGTAATTGGCATAGACCTTAGTTGCAGCCAACTTCAAGGATCCATCCATGCTAATAGTAGCCTGTTCAATCTTTCTCGCCTCCAAAAGCTTAATCTAGCTTACAACGACTTCAAGAATTCACCAATTTCTCATGGCATTGGTGGCTTGACTAGTTTAACAAACCTCAATCTCTCCAATTCCAATTTCTACGGTCAAATTCCATCCCAAATATCTTTACTGTCAAATTTAGTTTCACTCGATCTCTCCCAAAATCCTATTGAGTTTGAACATCAGGATTTCCAACTGCTTCTTCAAAACATAACTCAGGTTAGAATACTTTCTCTTTCTAACGTTAGTATCTTCTCCGAGTTCCCCAAGAACTTTTCTTCATCTTTAACAATTGTGGATCTGGGTCAAACTCAAGTTTATGGTAAGCTACCAGACCATATTTTCTCTCTAGCAAAATTGCAACAACTCATACTAGATGGAACTCAAGTCACTGGAAGTTTACCGAACTTTAACTGCACTGCTTCATATATGTTGTCATACTTAGATCTTGCTGACACAAATTTTTCTGGGGAACTTCCCAACACATTTGGCTGCTTGAAGTTCTTGAACAGCATGTTGCTCGATGGATGTCAGTTCACTGGTCGCCTTCCTGAGTCAATTGGAAACCTTTCTCAGCTCACTACAATGTCTCTGACTCATAACAGTTTCAGTGGGCCTCTTCCATCGGTGATCTCAAATCTTGTCCAACTGGAAGTTTTAGACCTTACAGGCAACCAAGTGCAAGGCCAAATACCAGATTGTTTCACAAATCTCCAAAAACTAACTCAATTGTCATTGCCAGACAACCGTTTGGTTGGCCCTTTCCCATTCACCATTGCGAACCTTACCAATCTCCAGACACTGGATCTACGATCCAATTCGATAACTGGTCCTCTTCCATCAAACGTGAGTGGCCTTCAGGGATTGTCTTTTCTATATCTTTCAAACAACTCGCTCCATGGCACAGCACCGACATGGTTATTTAGCCTGCAGTTACTCACAACTTTGCTTCTCAAAAACAATCTCCTAACAGGACAAATCGAAGAGCTCAATGGAATGTCACTGATGAAAATTGATTTGAGTAATAACCAATTATATGGTCAAATTCCTAAATCAATTTCAACACTCCCATTTTTAGGTTTCCTTGACCTCTCATCAAATAATTTGAGTGGCGTGCTTGAACTATCCAGTGATAGTCTTGAGTACCTTGTTCTCTCTAATAATCGAATATCATGGAGCACCAGCGGGAATGTCAGCAACTCTTTACCAAACCTTCATCGTTTGGAGCTATCTTCTTGCGAGATGAAGGCTTTTCCAGAATTTCTCAGAAGCTCAAAGAAGTTAGAAGTTCTACAGCTCGCTGGCAATAAGATTCAAGGTCAGATTCCCAGCTGGGTGACATCCATGCCTTGGGATTCACTTCTGTATCTAAATCTATCTTACAACCACCTTTCTGGGATGGATGCATTACCTTGGAAGAATCTAAGGGTTCTAGATGTTCGATTCAACCAAATCCAAGGACAATTGCCTCTTTTCATTTGCAATTTGAAAGCTCTAGCAATTCTTGATTTGTCAAGGAACAAATTTACTGGTGCAATTCCTCGGTGTTTTGGGAACTTTTCTAGTCAACTTGTGGTCTTGAATTTGGAAGGAAATCGCCTGCAAAGGACCATTAATTCAATGGTATTTGCAAAAGATAGCAGATTGAGGTATCTTGGTCTGAATACAAATTTCTTGGAAGGGCCGCTGCCAGAAACTTTGGCCAACTGCAAGTACTTAGAAGTCCTTGATGTGGGGAACAACCGTCTGAAAGATATATTTCCAGCATGGTTACAAAATCTTACGGAGCTCCAAGTTCTTGTGTTGAGTTATAACAGATTCTTTGGACCCATTAGCATTTTCAAGGCTAAGAGCCCATTCCAAAAGTTGCAAATCTTCGCCCTCTCTTGCAATGAGTTCAGTGGTGTTCTATCTACAGAACTTTTGGAAAGCTTCAGGGCCATGATGAGCTTACAAAGCAACAAATCAGAATCTAAATACTTGCATGCAACCGGCAATACGACAAATTATCCATACTCTGTCAACATGACATCCAAAGGCTATGAGATTGAGTTCACCAAAATCATTAGAACTCTCACAACCATTGATCTGTCGAGCAACATGTTTCATGGGAGGATCCCAGATGTCATTGGAAATCTCTACTCCCTCAAGTTGTTGAACTTATCCAGCAATAACTTTTCTGGCCACATTCCACCAGCTATTGGGAACCTGAAATTTCTTGAAACATTAGACCTTTCAAGAAACCAAATTGGAGGAGAGATTCCAATGCAGCTAACGAATCTCACTTCTCTTGAAGTCCTAAACTTATCATGCAATCATCTTATTGGGCGCATTCCTCAAGGCAATCAATTGCGCACACTTGGTGAAGATTCATACAGCGGAAACTCAGGATTATGTGGATTCCCACTAACAAAAAGCTGTGAAGAAATGCATGTGCCACAAGCGCCCCCAGATGAGGCATTGGAACAAGGCAAGGATTCAAGTTTCATGGGTGGATTTACCTGGAAATCAGTGTTCATAGGATATGGTTGTGGACTTGTTCTTGGCATAGCTCCTGGTCTTCTAATGTTTGTTACTGGAAAACCAAGAAGATTGGTAAGATTCATTGAAGAAGAAGCATATAGTAATAGTGTACTCTTGTTTGGAAAGAGAAAAACTGTATAATCAGCTGGAAAAACCAAAAACATGTCACAAGCGCATGGAAGAAGAAACTAAATATCCAGATAAATGAGGTAACTAGAACACACATTCTGTGATTTTATATTGTTTCCTTGTACAACTTTGTTATCTATATCATCAAATGTTTACATTCTTAAGATAAACTATTCTTCTCACAGTTGCCCTATGTATATTCAGTTACTTACTATCTTTGTGCTTAATAAGCTATTATTCATATAGCGGGTCTGGTCT